CACAATATCAAAAAAAAATATTATAAAATAAATAATTTGCTTAATGTTGATTAATAAAAATTGTATCATAATCTCTATTATTACTTATTTGTAAACTATAATAATAATAAAAAAAATATTTTTTAAATTAATTATTTAAAAAAAAATTGAAGATAGCCATTTTGTAGAGTTTATTTTTCTGAAAATATTGACATTTTGATTTCATTAATCTCCTGATTTTTAATAATGTTTCTAGTGTTGAGAAAAACTGTGAATTATTTGACACGTCCATCCTACCATAGTCGTATCTTTGATTATGGTCATAGTCCATAAATGGTAGAACGGTGTCAAATAATTGTAACAGTTTTTCTCAACACTAGAAACATTACTAAAAATCAGGAGATTAATGAAATTAAAATGTTGAAAAGTCAACATTTTCAGAAAAATGAACTCTACAAAATAGCTATCTAATAATTTTTTTTAAATAATATGTTTTTAACTTTTTTACTAAAACATAAAAATAAATTAAAACATGAATTATTGGTAGTGCTTGTCCCTGTGAGTCTTAATAAAAAACTAGAAAGTAGAATTATGATATCTCCATTATTTCAGGAGATATCGCAATGGATAAATCCTCACGAGATAACCTGTATATCTTCTACCTCACAATATGTAAACATTAATTGTAAGATTTACAATTTAATTAGGGTATGCAGCGACTGACTATCTTTAAAAAAATATGTTTTCTGAGGATATTTCTTAGGACCTACGAGTATATATATTATTTAGAAGAAAATAAAAAAAACTAGATAAAAATCATCCCCATAATATGTTATTCACGTTGGCACAAGTTGTGTTAGAGATTTGAGGGAGGGGGGATGAGGTCTTTATTTCAAGACACGCTAAATAATTGTACGATGCTTAAATAAGCATATTACCTACTAATCAGCGAATTTTTACTCTCTTTCCTAGTTAATATTTCTTTTCTTTTTTTTTCTTTTTTCTTTTTTTTTTTATTAAATTGTAAATGCATGTATCAATGAATTACGTAGGTATATCTATGCAGTACTATAACTAATATTTCTATAATAGATAATATTTGTTGAATTGAATTAAATATTCCGATCAATATGTTTTGCCCGTAATCCACGCCATAATCACTTAGGTACTTATAATATTTGAAATGGTAACACCAATGGGTAGCTTAAACTTTTGATGTTGTGGCTACAAGTACTGTTTAGTCTAAAATATGTTGTTGTTCGTAAATCGTCAATAGTTATTACATCATTGGTAGATTTTAAGTGTAAGTGAAGTACTTACCTGTCTTACCTATAACTTTTGTTTTGACTAGCAAAACATTATTAATTATTGTGTTGATACAATAAGCATTGGAACATTTAAGATCTAACTAAAACCCTCATTGAGACGACTGAATTATTTTTTTATTGACCTACATAGATACCAATACTATAATTTTATTTTTAACAAAAAATGAATGTATACAAATTTAATTAAAATCTACAAACGTTAGTTCGGTATTAAACAATTTTGTTTGTTATTTGACATTATAATCAGTCATGATAATTTGTGTAGCGTATTTCAATTCCTCCCATGCTTTAAATAATAAATTATATTTACTAGTAATAATGGTATGCAGTTATTTTACTCAACGTTATGATATTGATTTACTGATGCAATTTTTCCTAAAGATTAAAATAATACCTACCATGTAGTGTGTATCTTACTATCTTAACAATTATGTATAAGAATGAAAAAATTCTGATTTTCATATTTTCTATTTAATAATAAATACTAATAAGTATCTACTTTATGTAGTGTTAAAATATAAGAGTTTATACTGTTTATATTTAATATTTATTTGAGAATTATATTATATGATTATCCCAACTGTACAAGTTCGTATAATATATTACATTACCATAGTTAATAGTTCTAGTTGATCTCAAATACTTACTTACTTATTGATGTGTTTTTTATTTACATACTTATAAATAATATGATGTCCCTACTGGTTACTGATATAGACGTACATAAGGGTGTAAGTCCCACCTGGGACCTGGGTCATCTCAAGCTCTTCTTAAGATATTTTAATTTATTGAATTATTTATACTATATAACAATCTATAATAATAAATGCATAGTAATAACATTCAATGAACAGTATTTAATATAAATTTACTTGATTAATTAATTTAATTGATAGTTATTTTTGTTGTATTATACAAATGATGTACATAAATGTTTTGATTCTTGTATTGTTAGACCTTAAAATATATTTGTACATCTTTTTGTTGAATTCTACAGGTGGGGCCAGATTAAGACATTTTTCGCCCCGGGACGTTTATTATATTCTTATGTACCCATAGGGTGTAGACTGTAGGTAGGGGTGATTAAGTGGTCCAAACCACCCTAAGATATTTTTTTTATCAACATGAAATTATCTTACTCTATGTTGCTTGATATTTATGAATTTAATTTCACTTATAATATTTGGAAACAAAATATCCAACTATATTTTTCAAAATTGCCAATAAATGGTTTCGTATTTGGTTTGGCTTTATATGATTAATAAAGTTTTGGGAAAATATAATTCCCTATGCAATTTAATTGCAATGCTTCTTGGAAAAAATATAAGCCATTTATCACAGACTAAGGTATATATATTATATCTTGCAATCCTAGCCCGTGGTATCTATACAGTTACAAGTGACAACTGACAAAATACAATCATAATTTAATTCATTGTGTATTATTTATATTATTTATTTAATTTTTAGACTTTTGTCTGGTAGCGACCATTTACCTATTATGTCCAGTATTTTAATGACAAAAGCAGTGGAAATCCAGCCACTATTAAATATGGTGTACACAGGAAAAATACCAATGAATAAACTCAACAGGATCTACTAAGATTTTTGATTTTACACACTATGTTCATTTTATTCATACACATATTATTTTCACGTTTTAAAAAGGTAGTTACCAGTTAGTTTGATTCGCTTCCCAGCATCCCTATATTGAAAAGTACCACAGCTTATAATATATTATTATATTATTTGTGATTGTTTTAAATTGTATCATACTATATACAATATTGTGGTCTGTTGTATATAAAGGGGGCGTGGGGGCAGAGGCCAGAGACTCCACTCTCATATTGCTCTTGAAACCTTTTGGTAGGGCTGTCAGCCATTTGTCCAGGTTTAGTCGGGTGTTCACACTACTGGTTTTAAGCACTCTTTTCTGATATTCATTAAATTCCGGCCGGGATGACCAATTAGAAAAAATATAATGTCATAATGTTGTTTCCACGATAACCTACCAACCATTAATTAATGTTCATCAACAATCGGTTATTTTGTTATATTTACTAACTTTTTAAAGTAGGTGTAACTTTGATATGACGTCATGATTGGTATAACACCGCGTGAGTCGTGACACCTAACTATTTGTTAATAATCGGTAATAATTGTTTTCGACCGTACCGTATATCTACGTCTTGTAACAAGTGTAGTTGTCTTATCAAAATAAATATTAGTTTTCTTTTTTCACGCGATCGTAGTAATCGAGTGATAGCCGGACAGCCGATAGGGTAGGCGAATGTAAAATATTTTAAGTCCATGGCGTTTGAAAAAAATGCAAAATGAATTCTCTTTTACAAAAAAAGCGAAACCAACTAACAATTTTTAACTAGTATAAGGAGAACAAAATAGGTTTTATTTTTTCGAGCAGGATAATGTCCAAAAATAATTTTGATTATCAAAATCGGTATAAGGCTTAATTTAATAGTTGAAAGTGGTATTCTCTAAAATTAAATGTTCTACTTTTAATTTTAAATTAATGACAGCTCTGTGGCTTTTTCGCTCAAGCGTTTTGCTTTTGAGAACTTTATTTTCGACTATGCTTACGAGTTACGATATGGATTTTCGTAGATTTAGTAAGTATAATATAACATCAAAAATGGTCTTTACCCCCGAAGTAATGAATTGGGAATTGGGAATATTATCTATTTGTTAGAACTCAGAAGTATATTTTGTATCCGTGATTATACAGTAGCAAATCCAAGAGGGGGGGGATGTAAATACCCCCCCCCCCACATTGATAAATTTCTGGATCCAACCCTATGATTATATTATATTAATAATTTGACAATTACATTTTTATTGAATTTTATTATGTACAATATTTTTTCTTTAATACGGCGATAATTTATATCTATGCGTTGAATAATGTATATAGTCACCACTCACTCACTCAGAAGATAATAGTTTTCCGTACGAATGTTATAGTGAATTGATGTGGGTAGCCAGTATAATCGATATAATTTAGTCTGCTGTCTGCAGTAACCATTACAATGGAATTATTTTTTAACCCTATTACTTACATTCTTCAATTGTAGTCGTACCATTGTAATGTGAATAAATTCATAAATGGAAAGTGTTGTACGGAACTATATTCTCTTAGAAATTCTATATATTTTTTATTTTTATTTTTAAAACACAGCGGTTGCTGGTACAAGATATTATTTATTTTATTTATTTAATAATATTACCTTTGTAGATCTCAAAATAGTTTTTTCTAATAATGTATGTATTTGTATGTACACCTATTCAAACAAGGTCAGATCGTATGCATATTTGTGATAATAAGTTAACGACCGGATAAAAAAAGTAATGTTTCCACATTTAGCATTTATACTGTATTTTTATCAATATATAACACAGATAATAAATAATTTTATAAAAAAATTTACATAATACAACATTAATTTACTTTACATAATTTGCCTAACAATAAAATAATATCACAAGTTTGTTTTATTTACAATTTAGGCAATATTATAATAGAATAAATAAATTGATAAATACTTAACTACCTATACAGGTATAAAATAACAAAAAATGTTATTTGTTTCAATCACATATCGCTGTCATGCATGATGACTTATATATAGTAGCCATAATTTAGGTATATTATAGGTAACACAATAATATAATATATATTATTTATATTACTAATTTTCATTAAGTCCATTAACGCCACATAAAATATAAAAATATATAGATAATAGGAGAAATTACACTCGATGTCTAATTATACGTCATCTTACAATATTTTGATGTCGATGAACAAAAAATAAATAATAAAATAGGTGTTTCAATATCTTTGTGTGTGTGTGTGTGTGTGTGTGTGTGTGTGTTGTGTGTTTTTGTGCTCCTGTGTGTGTGATTAGTTAATTGACAAGACGTGGTCTATACAATTTTCATTTTATCGGTTTGAATCGTGACTTTGGGTAGTGCGTAGCTAGTTAGTGGTTACCCAGTGTGAATTAGATACCACTGATACCAACTAAAGTACAAAAAATAGGATCAACATTGTTATGTTTTACGCTCACTGTGCGGACGAATTTCTTTTCCGATAAAAACACGAGAAAACACGACATTCCGAAAGAAATCAAAAAAAAATCGAAATGGGCTCTAAGTCATAGCCCATAGGTAGTGTGTGTTTACACTGCACAATACGTCGCGCATCACACATAGTAAGTTACCTGTCCTGCAGTGCCCCTCCCACTGTGTAATATTTTGTTACAGAAACATTTAAGGGAAGTTTCAAATCAACGCACGTAGCATTGCATTTGCTGTGGTTTTTGCGTTGCATCAACATATTCAGTCCATACAGCCGACGTGAAATTATTGAAATCGAAATCGTAGGTATAATTTTTTTTTGACACGCCGGTGCCGTTGTGTGTGGGTAACGCCTAACGCTGTGTCCTACGTGAACGCGGCTAGTGAGGCTGAATTCTATACTGACCATGCTGTTCCAAACGAGGCGAAATACAGGCTGTCCTGTTTTTCACAGTAGTGTCGCAGTAGTTATTTGCGGCACACGTCCACTAGCGAACTGATGGTGTACACCGCGGTAGAATCGTTGGGCTTGAACTTTTTTTCCAGGTATTCAGTGCCTTTGGTCGCATCATGTTCTCCGCTGCTGAACAGTTTCTCGATCTGGAGCAGCGTCTTGCCCCGTGTTTCCGGCAGGAACGCGGCCACGAAACAAGCGGCGACTGCGGCGGCGGCCGCGAACAGCCACATGATCTGATCGGTGGCCAGCGCCGTCATCAAGCCTGGTGACATTTTCACCGTGACGAATATGAAGAAGTAGCCAAGCGACGGGACCAGGCCGCCCATTATGCCGCGGACTTTGAGCGGGAACAGCTCGCCGATCATCATCCACGGCAGCGGCACCATGCCCAGCATGCTGACGCTGACGTTGAACAGGATGCACGCCAGCGGCACCCACCCGTACGGCCTGGCGTCGACCAACAGCGGACTGTACGCTGACTCGTAGGCGCCGCACACGGCCATCGACACGGCCATCAGGACGGCCGACGCCATGGCCATCGTTCGGCGGTTCACGTGCTGAATGCACACGGACCCGGTGACGCTCATGACCAGCCGGAGCACCGCGACCGCGATCGACGCCACGTTGCTGTCCACCGTTGAGCCGGCCACTTGGAAAAAGTTGACCGCGTAGTACAGTATTATGTATATGCCACTGGCCTCTTGCAGCACGAAGAAGCACACCAGTATCAAGAACGGTTTCCAGACAGCAGGCGCCGCGAAGTCTCGGATCGTTGGCGCTGTGGACCCATTGCCGTCGCCCAGGTTGTTCAGGATCTCAGCCAGTTCCTTGTCGGCCAGCGAGGGTTTCCTGCGCAGCCACATCAACGACTTCCCGGCGTCCGCCACTCGGCCTTTGGATGCGAGCCACGATGGTGACTCGGGCGTCAGATTCACCGACAGGAAGCTCAGGAACGACGTCAGGGCGCAGAGGATGCTGACCACCTGCCACGGCATGATCGAACCCAAGGAGTAGACGATAAGAACGCCGATCGACACAAAAATCGGCCCGAACGACGATAGAACCCCTCGGTGTTGAGCCAAACTCACTTCGGCTACGTAAACGTAACAAGCTGACGACATACCTAGATGTAGATGATTAAAGACAAAACGAAAAACAATTAAATCCACTTATTACTATAAAAACCTATTGACGTGTTGTATGTTAATAGCCCACATTTGTACCTACATTAGAGTTTAGACCGTAATATTGTGATCAGTAAATCATTGTTCATAGGTACTTAAAGTTGATTCAAAAAGAAACTTTTAATAGGACGTCAGTATGTCACACATTCACACCCACATAATTATATTAATTATGTTGTTCTGTCTTTCAAACGTAGGTATACCTACCTACATATTATAACGAATTCGCGTCCAGCAGAACGAATTTTCACTGGTTGGTTTTAATATAAGATAGAATTAACCAATTCCCAAACTTAACAGTAAGAACCATTATCCATGTTCATTTTTCGTTGGTTTTTACGATATTTCAGTGTTTAAGCAAGCTATGAGTACATATTATGTAAAATATTTCAATTTAAAAATTCTCATAAGACAATTAAAAACAAAAAAATAACGCAAAAAACTGACGCTTAAACACAGATAATGTTCTTACCTTTACATTTAATAATATTTTGATCCTCTTTAGTATAAAGCCAACAACACAAAGATGTCCTGTTGTATGATGCGTTTTCAAGACGGAGTCAATTACACTTCATGCGGGTGTGACATCCTCTTAAAAGTTGTTGCATGACATCCTCTTAAGCAACAATAGCAAAAACTATTTTTCACGGTTTTTTAAACAACAATAAAATACCAACTATCGTTTGAAAGAATATGTACAAACGTTAAGATAATTTTGCTTACCGATAGCGACTCCTGATATAAAGCGACCCAAACATAAAAACGTTATGTCGGTAGACAATCCAATTATTGTCCAACCAATTAAGAATGGTATAGACGTCAATTGTACTGTTGTTTTTCTTCCTAAGGTCTGCATGAAAACTCCTGACATCAACGCTCCTAGAGGGTTCGATATAACTCCCAAACTTGCTGTAAAAACAATAAGATAAAATATAGAAAAAAAATACTTAACATTGGTATATTTTGAAACATATCTGCGGTATAATTAGAACATTTTTCAGATTGTACAGTCGTGGTAGGGAAAAATATTATTATGAGGTATATTTTATAATATGTTAATACATTGTTACGTAACTAAATGATGAAATTTTATTTATCCATATTCTATACTATTGCCTATTATATATTTTTATCATTTCTAGATTAAACTTATTATTCAGTCACTGTACATATTCTTGAGTAGTGAATAGAAGTCAAAAACTCAAAAATTTTAAAATGTGCAGTCCCTGTAAAATTATAGCGATATGATTTGTAAATAATATTATTGTAATTTGTAATTATAATTTATTTATAACGTAATTTTTCAGACAAAGGACTGTAGTGCGTGTTTCTAATTTCTTTAGTCGAACCGTTTTTAGACTCATATTTAAGACGTAATACATAAAGTTGTGCATTTGGGTTGAAAGATCGCATTCAATTAACCATAGGTACCTACAGCGACGGGCCAACTACTCGGGCATATCAATCATGTGTCATTATTAAGCCAATAATTGCGCGTGCTAATGCGGACAGGAACTTTCATATTTTTTTCTTTGCCGTTTTGCAAATTATATTTATTGCGCGCGATTGTTATCGAACGTTTATACCGGACAACCTTGACCGCAACCTGGAGACACCTCGAACCCGGGATAGATAATGACATTGCTCTTAATGATTGAAATTATGGTCTGCGGGCTCTGCGGCTAGAGCGAAAGTAAATCACATATGGAACGCGTACATATATGATTGGTACATATAATCTGTTTCAGAATAATAGATAGCACAAACAAGCAAATCGTTTCCTTATTGGCATAGGTGTATATACCGTGTAATATATAATATTATACTGCCGTAGAAATCGACGAAATCACGAATACGAAGTTTGGAAAAATGTTATACAGGCAAAGGTAATAATATATTATATTATGGTAAACTGCGTGTACCTACTTTTGTTAAATAGATGTATCTATATGCGCTCATCAAGTATAAATCAGAAAAAAAACGACAAATCGATTTGCTGAAAACAATTATGTATTATTGAGCGTATGTAGATACCTATATTAACATTGATCGACCGGTATTTTCAATTTAATATATTATGGCGTTCAGTAAATCATTATTGGACATTTTTGTAACCGGTTGTTTTTTATTTCTGTTCAAGACGCGTCTTTCATTAACACTTCGAGTTACAGCTGTATTGACGAAGCCTATTGTGGTCGTTGTTATCCAAGTACGTTTGGCTTGACCCGCGATAATAAGTACCTATATAGTGTGACACACGGCTCATTACGCTTGCGGTTTATCATGTTGATTAACACGAGGTACCTACCTATGTACAGGGTGTCCTCCGACAGTAAATTGTAGATATTATTAATTAGAACTATTGATATTTCTAACACTATTGTTGTATATTTGTACTGCAAAAAGATGCATCAAATGGGACCACGTTTTTTAAGATTTTAAGTATTTTTCGGATTTTTGGTGGAAACAGAAATAAAATATTAAAAAATAAATAAAACGTAAGTGTCCTTATTACTAAAAATTTGCAGACGCAAATCGATCGATGTAGACGCGTTCAATTATTAATTGTCATCAAGTACTCATCTACATAATGTATGGTAGTATGTTCATATACGGGCAGCAAGCATTCGGATAGAGAGACATCCCCTAGTTGCTATATATTATAATACATTTAAGTCAATCTTTTTTTTTTTTTTAACAAAATTTTATTTATTACGCTATCTGTTACAATATTGAACAATAAGCTTAATTGATAATAACATAAACAAAAAATAGACAGAAGAGACTGAATGAAGAGACCTCCCATCGGAGGTACTTCAGCATGAATATTAATTTAAATTTAAGGTATTAGTTCTAGCATAATATTAATATTAATAATAGTGATAGTGCAGTGAATACATATACATACTACATAATAGTTATAAGTAACAAAAGATCATAAGTTGTATTGATACATTTTTTTTTTTTTTTTTTTTTTTTTTTTAAATTATAAAAGTAGGTCACGACACCATTGCCTTTTTAATCTTTTGTGGGGATTTCCTGGAATAGTTGCAGATGATAGTTGGACAATAAGGGGATTGGAATGATGTGTTAGCTTGTTGTTGAATCGTTTATAGTGGAGCTTGGCTAGTTCAGTGACGGTTGGTAAATTGAAGTCAGAATGAAGGGTATCATTTGAAACATAGAAGGGAGCTTTGGAGATGACGCGAAGGACTTTGGATTGAAACCTTTGTATACGGTTTGTATTTGATACTTTGGCTGAGCCCCAAAGTTGTAAACCGTAGGACCAGATGGGCCTGAGTAGTAGTTTATACAGCAGTAATTTAGTAGGTAGTTTGATATTTTTAGAAGTTAGGAGTGGCCGGAGAAGACGAAAACGATCGTTCAACGTTCGAGTTTTATTTTTAATGTGAGCTGACCAGGTAAGTCGACGGTCAATGTTGACTCCAAGGTAGCGTACACATTGGGCAGAAGTCAATCTTAATATTGTTAAATCATGTATTGTCTGCCATTGCAATCATTATTCCCTTGTATTATAATTTAAAATCATATTTAGTCCGTAAAAATAAAGAATTGATAAATAACACATTCGAGTTCGGGTACAGTGTAACAGCAGTTAAGCGCTAGATGCAGCTAGTGCAGCTATTATATTCGGTGTTTTCGCCTCACCTATCCAAGACGCTTCCACGTTGTTCACTAAAATGGAACTATTGGAGTCGAGGAGTTGCGGAAGGAGTACTGCCGAGAACCCCTGACACATGCCCACGGAAATTGAATTGACATGGGCAGCCACGGCTGACATGACCTGCAAAACGAAAGCGCATATATTATTATAACAAAATAATACATTATATATACATCAGGTGCAACATTATATTACATATCACACAATTTTTTTTCTATTGCTGCACTAATCTAGTTATAATGGATGAGACGACTTAATTTCAATTAAATTGCCCGGCACTCATAGGTGTACACGAACATACGACGTATGAACTCTGTCCGCATGGGGTTCATTGAAGGACGCTTTGACACAATGTTAAATTAAAAAAAAAAAAGAACCTATAAGTATTTCCTTTTCGGACGCCTTGAACCTTGGCAATTTATGAGTCAATCGCTACCAAGACATTTTTGACATAGGTAGGTACATTACAAGCTACAATAACACTATGATTGATTGAGTCATAGGCCACACGTGAGTACCTACTATATCAATGTGTGGTGTTTGGCAGCGCAGAGCTTATTATAATAAAATCATGCGCATAAATATCAAGTCCACTTAGCGCCGGTGACATTTATTAGCTTTTCATCGACATGGGTGTACGCCCGTGATTAACTCAGTCAAATCATGTGATTATACATATTTTGCACCCTGTAAAATCGTATGGCGGCCACGTTGCCAGTTGACATACTGCAGGTCTTACCAGAAAAGTGGAATGGTAAAAACTGTGTGGTTTGCACCCATTTTTCATGCCGAGTAGAGTGATATAATGGTATCCGACATAACAATAATATTTTTTAATTAACATAGTAATATTTCATTGTTTTGTAAGATTTAATTGTTGTTAGTTAATTGTGTAACTGTACATAATATAATAAAACATTGCAAGACTAAACTCACTAACGATAAACGAATCTGTTGAAATGCGTAGCTTATGAATTATGATACGTTCCTGTGTAGTATAGTTTTGTAACATGTCAGTAAAATAATAACGTCCGTTCCATCGAAAAACATACCTGCAAATTTCTAGAAGAAAAAGATGGCAGAATGTGTACGTTTTGTTCCAAGTTGTGAGCAATATTATTTATGAGAGTCGGAGGTTGAAAAGTGAGGACAAAAAATGGGTCACGGACTTGTCAACGCAAAACTCATCGTTGTCGTGATTGTGTGTACTGACTTGCAGTGTGATGCAGTCCTACGTGAAATTCGGATTATATAACATATTTTTAACTCGTGCTTAGAAAAATTACGACGAAGGTTCTTATTATTGTCGATCGGCGCTCGCGGTATACCTATATACCCATTTGCCACTACATATATTATATAGTTTTATAGACCCGTCGAGAGATTTTCCTCACGTCTTATAGTAATAACTTATGAAATTCAGGACATAATTCGACGTCTAAGATATCCGCACATCATATCCGGTAAAATATTTCTAATAATAATCAGTTTACTTTGTAAGAGCATTGCACAAGGCCACGATATCATAATAATATTAAGTACGCTCGACTAACCTAACCTCTATATATGAACACTTATCTCGAAATTTTCCTCTACCCCCTGTTATGACCATAATAATTTAATCACACGACGTCTATTTGTGTTAGCAAACAAATTGGTACTCAGTATAAAATCGAAAATTTGTTATGAAAATTGAAAATAAACCAATCATGTGATGTGAGTTATTGCGATGGTGATATTGCACAGTATTGTAGTTGTATAACCTTTGTTTTTTTAATCACGTTTCTTTGACATTTGTCGTACTTATCGATGTATTTTTAGAGCATCGAGCGAATAATATTCTCATATGTACAGTGCAAAGTCTATAACATACGAGAGAGTTTAAAAAAACCTAAAGGATATATATATATTATAAAATAGGTACGTAATTATATACAATATGAACATTCATATATACTACACATATTTTATAAAACGTATAATACAACGTTAAACATGATAAAATAGTATAGTAATGTATTAATGTATAATATTTTGTTTTTTATGTTTTTAATATATTATTATGTTTGTTTGACCGGTTCCCTTGCAACTACTTGTGTGTGATGACTGATGAGTGATAAGGTCAATGTCGTTACTTTATTATACTATTTCCGTTTAACTAAAATAATATTAAGTTCTGTAATTTTAGGTTTATACTTATTGTTTAGTCTATTAAAAAGTACAAGTTAGAAAATGTGTCAAAATCTCAACACATACTATATACCTTTAATCGAGTTTAATAATCAAATTATTAAAATGTGTCGTCACTTTAAACTTATATCTATTATACTATTATATCGTTACATCAACCTAGACATTTCTTTACGCGTAGTCGTGTAGAATATACATACATAAATATAGATACGTATATTGGAGGATTTCAGTTGATGAACAAGTAATTGCCGACCATAATGAGTAGAAAATTACATATTTAATATATATTTGATACATAAGAATATTATCATAAATTATTGCAACAGTGTTTTTTATTTTAATTTAACGATTTTGCTTCGGAAGTTATTATATTGTATTTATGTATTTTTTTAATCTCATTAGCTCTATTGTAATTTTAAATTAGGTTATGCAATAAGTTAGGATTTCTGAAATTTTTCAAACATCATAATATATCGTACCTGCTCCCACTCTATCGATGTTATAGATAATTGGTTCATACAAAATATGTCATCATTAGGTCATTTAGATCATAATAAATACTATAGTTATGTACCTTTATTATTGTCTTAATACATTATTTACACAGTCTGATAACTAAAATATTAAATTAATACAAAAATAGATATGTTTAAATAAGTTATTCATAGAATATTAAAAATGATAAGTACTGATTTATCACTAAATTGTTCTATTGTATTAAATATAAGATATAGATTTATAATAACAATAATAATAATAATAATTGTATAAGTCATATTTGTTTGAAAACTGATGTCAAATGGTTATGGAATCTGTTACATCTGCTTATCTGTATAGCGAGTATGTGTACTTACCATTATAATATACATCAAATATTACCTACATTATTATGTATCTCATTGTGTAAATTAATTTTTCATTGCTTATACTTAACAACGTTTGTTTTTTTTAAACTTTAGGTTGGTAATGATGTACATAAATGTTGGTATATGACGTAACATTTTTGTTTTTCTAAAACTATGAAAGTGTTAACCTTATACCAAAATTGGATATTAAAGGTTCATTTTTCTATTAATAGTAAGTAACTATTATTAAAACGTAATCAATATTTATATCTAGGCATTTAAAATCATTGATTCGTAATATTAACGATAGTACGATTTGTTCATTGTATTTATTTTATAATTTTGTATTATTTCAACTTTTAAGTGACTTTTAAGTAGAGCAGGTATCTCATAGATAAATGAGTTGGTCATTTTAAATATTAACCCAATACTTTGATATTTAATTCATAAGTATGTATAAAATCATATACATAAACACTAATATGATTCATTTTATGTATTTCAAATTACTTTCATGTATAATTTGTTCTCACATAGGTTATATATACCACTAAAAATTGTTGCTTCATAGATACATTTTACATAAGAACAATTATGAAATATAAAAGTATTTTTGAACATTAATTTAATTTAATTAATTTTCATATTCCTTCAGTTAGTTATCCTAAGATATAACAGTATAAGTTACGACACACAATACTTCATTTGTAATCATGCCTAAAAACATAAAAAAATATACAAGAGCATTGATATTATGGAATATAGTTATAAATTAATTGTTTAAACACAACTAGCTGTTAGAAAAATACCAATATATTAACCACTGGCCTCTTGTTTTTAAAAAACTTAGAGAACTTAGTAATAATTTAGAAACGAATATTTATTTTTCCAACAAATAATTATTTGATGTATATTTCTTGATAAAACTACATTACCTATATGCTGTAACTTGTAACGTATGAATGTATGATATTCATATAAAAAGGTAATTGAAAAAAATTGTAATGTCTTTTATTTCTTATTTAAAATAATAGTTAACAAATAAATTGATAATTAATCATGATACAATATGTATAGCTGTCTACTGTTTTAATTACCATATTTTCTATTATATTATAGAAAAACAGTGTTAACACTATAATCGTTTTTTAAAATCGTTTTCTTAAAAAAAAAATAACTACGATTTTTTCTTCTTATTGTCTGTTTTATATATCTGAATAATAAATTCTAAGAATATCTACATCTTATTTAAAATCCTAAATGAGCATACGTTTACCTACCTATAAATGTTAATACATAGGTACCGAATGAAATATGGATGTTTGTTTTCCATTTTTACAATACTCGTATATATTATTTGCCTCGACGATTTATATAATTACTCAAGATAGTTTAATGTAATAGGACCTATAATATAAATTTACTTTTCATCAATCGTTAAAATTAACTTCCCAAAGTAAACCCGTAATAGTTATAATAATAATTACTGGTGTAATATGTATTATGATGGATTAGGTACACTAACGACATATTTGAGGAGCTCAGTTTTATTTTTCAACCCACTAATTCGATTAATAAATTAGTTCAAAAATTGTGATTTAAATATTTAAATAATTCCTGTAAACGCGGTTGTCGAATTGTAAATTATATGTTGTATTAAGATTTAAGACACTTGAAATGGATAGAATATATCAAAAACAGGATTTTGTCAAATACTATTTTGAAAATTGTATGTGCTATATTGTTTAAGGTTATAATACGTCATATTATAACATGTACTATTATTAGTATTATTATACAACGAAACTCCAATTATACAATATATATAACATAACTGTACTGCAGTAGGTAATAACTAATAACTACATAATATATACGTATTATAGTAGGTAATAACCAGCAAAACAACAAAATATACATCCGTTATAGGTACACATTATTAATTGTAGTTTGTAGGTGGATGACACAATTATTGGACTACCTAATTTAATTTATTTAAATTTTAAGTACCTATAGGTACCTACCTAATTTATGTCGATTGTTAAGAATCGAAAATTGTTTTGGAAATTAAACTTCTCGACCATACAGTTAAATTATTCTTTTGACAAGTGTAGTTCAAATACAGTTAACATTATTGTAGTACTGTGGTAAAACTTCAGGCACAAAGCGTTAAAAATATATACACGACTATAAATAAAATTATATATATAAGCCATGTATATACAAATGTATGTTGATTATTAAGAGTGACAAATGTTGCCAAAACAGTAGGTCAGGAATAATATCGTAGAGAGTACCTATCCATAAGAGCTTAAAACGTAAGAAAAAGCATAGTCGACCGCTCATAATATATATCTATAGATTGACGAATGATCATAGTAAAACCCGAAGGAGGGTTATGCGACGATTTAGCAGCTTTGTTAAATAAAAAGATAAAATATAGATTCTACAGGTGTGTGTATACCTACAAGTGGCGTGCTCAAAATGATTATATAGATGGTATTATGTTCTAAAATTCTTTTCATATATGCCTATTATACATATACCTACTATTTATAGTAGCATATATAAAGTATACATATTATACGTTTTGTATACCAATAATATTTTTGGTCGTTGTATTATAATAAATAAAACAATGTAAACCAATTTCGGATGTGAAATATATAACTATGTGCGCCCTAACACGAATGCTTCTCTTCCCAATTCACCCGCCGGGCACGGTACCCTACTGATAGTTACGAAAACGTAGGCGTACTCACAGTTCGGCCACATCCCCATTGCCAGGTGTTCCATAACGTCTTGAAGGAATTTTTCATGACCCTTCAAGTCCTGCGGGGTGCCCACCTGTGGAGGATACCTTGGCACCACCAGGTCTCATCGGCGACGGCTGAGGCTGCGGTTATATATTATACGGTGGATGCGTATTATGATAGAAGCACTGTTAAAAAACGGTTATCGCGACGAGGCAGGCGGAAAAAACGAACTGTATTTTTAGGAAAATTCTAAGGGAAAAAAGCACATGAAGATATTATATTATTACACGCGATTCGAAAACTGGTCGTGTTCGGAAACTGTATGAATAAAAATATGGAAATAAAAAAAAAAAATTCCTGACCGGATATTATATAGAGACGACTGCGGTGATTTTCTCCGGTTACTTTGGAGTTATTCCGGCGCCGGAAGATCGACACGCGCACAATAGTTGTTTTAGTGATTATGTTGTCTTAATAATAGTATAATGTAATATTTTATCACTTTTAAACGCACTCCGGCGACGATTAATGTCGTCGTTTTTTTCTATTATTATTATTATATATTAAAAAATGATTGTTGTAATGTCTCTACAGGCCGATGAGATGCCGACTGTGCCGCGGAGTCGGCGAATGTCGCGTGCCCGAACCGCCGCCGTCGATACGCGCGCGACTCCTACTATTTTTACGTAACGCGGACGGCGGCGTGAAATTTTTGCATCGCGCGAATTAACGCCGCCCGTCGCGGATCGTGCCCGCTCTAGCGCTAGTCCTACGCGCGAACAGTATGCTAACAGGTCCACGATGACATCATCATCATCGCAAGACGCATTGTCGTAATTGCACGCGTGCAACAGGCGTTTGTGACCGGGACTACTGAGGTACTTCAGGCAAAACTGTAGTTTAGGCTTGGCCATCACCCGCCGCTGTCAGAGTGGAGTTGTGATTTCGATTATTATAATAATATATAGTATACGAGAAACTGCCACATGTTGATCGTCAAAGGAGACACATTGGTACCTATACCTACCCCGTAAAACATTTGTCCCGCTCATCAGAGGTTGCAATTCTTATAAATTCAAGACGGGATTTAGCATTTTTACAAATGTCTACATCGAGTAAATTTACTTGATGTAGACATTTGTACATGCAGTCGATGAGTTCTCATAAATCACTACTTGATTGATACAAATGTTCAAAATGTTGTGTTGCGTATTTTTGCACATTTTTGACGTTAGGTTAATAGGCATATTTTTAATCGAAATGCATTTTCTTGTACATATTATGGGTATTAAATTGTTTGTCAATTGCAAAAAAAATGTAAAAATATGTTACATTTATTTTAAACTTTGATTTTTCTATTGTATTGAAATTTTATTATTCAGTATTATCTTAAATTATTAAAAGCTATAAATTAATTTTGAATAAATCCAATGTTAAACCAAATCTTGAGTATACTATCAATGCAAACTTTTTAATAATTGATTATTATTATTAATAATGAATATTGAAAGTATTAAAAAGCTTGAAACATCAAATTCAGTACAGCATTAAAAATAGAAGAAACCGTTGAACATTTTATAAATATTTTTCCTAAAAAAATAGTGACAATGTCATTAGAAGAAATATTGGACTAAAATTGTTGAAAGAAATTTCTAAAAATACTTCAAGTTGTAGTAGTTTGGACGATATTCCAATGCAAAATTATTGATCAGAAATATTGATCAATTTTAAGTATGGACCAGTAACAAGTGTTGAGATGTAAAGTGCAGTTTCTTCATACTGCAAGTATATCCTAAAAAATCAGCGATTTAATTTCACAGAAGTTAATATGGAACAAATTGTAATAACTTATAGTTTTTCAATTTAATATTAACATTCGTTGTATAAGTTTATAAGTTTACATATTTTATATTTATTTTTTGTTTGCTTTATACCTATAACTTTTGTGTTTTTTTTCTTAATGTTTAAAATTTAGAATAGATATAATTTTTAATAATTAAATATCAAACGAGTAATTACATTTTATACTGCATTTTATTTCATATTTCTTCTTGGATATTTTTACTTTTATAATTGTAAATTGTATAACTATTAGGGCATGAAAATCCAGTCTATACTTATAAATTATAATTAACCAACTGCTCATTTGAAACTCGGTTCGTATTCATTTAAATTCTCAGGAAAGTGTTCTGCTTCTGGGAATATTAAGAAGAAAATATAGTCACGCTGTTATTCAACAAAGTAAAAAACCTAATAAAAATTATAATTTTTTTTTAAAATGGTGTTTTGTAATTTCTTTAAAGTTCAAATACTCTTGAAAGAATTACCCATCGTATTATAATATTAGTATTGCACTGTTGTATAATAATTAATTACAATATAGCTAAAAATATAAAATTCCCACGATGTACCTAATGATTATTGAAGAATTTCAAAAAGTTGTTGGTTATGAGTTTTTGATCATTTAAAAAAATTACCTCACATACATATTTGAGCGTTTGAGGTACTTATAGCATTTTATTCTGTTATATTATTATACATAGCAGGTATGTGGGTATGTGTTACCTATTGATAATCTCCCAGTTATAGTTACTAACTGTTTGTACCTAACATTTTTTTTTGAAGCTCATACGAGCTATACTTATACTTAATTATTGTACATTTTCTATCTGTATAGAGTGCAGTTTTTTTAATTAGTTTAAAATAAAATGTATATTTTGTTTATAACATTTTGAAAATCTAAATTATATTTACTTACAATTGAAAAACTATAATATTATATACTAGGATTAGAAATTGACAATTTGATTAGATTGATTAATACGATTCAGTTTTGTTAAAAATCAATTTATTTTACTGGATAAAACTAATAATTGTAACTAATAATATTATTTTAACAAGTTTTAGTAATAATTTCATGAATAATAAGTAATAGGCACTATGGGTATTTATTTTTATCACTTATCGCACCCGTGTTCTGTGTAGTTTGTTTATAACGTATTTGTTCTCGAGTGACGTAGTCGATAAAAAAACATGACGTGCAGCGTCGTTCGGACTCACAAAATTATGTTATAATTATGTTATACTGTTTAATTACTTTTTTTTCAATATAAAATATTTCAAATGGTTTTTTGTATCGTAATTTCAGCTATAATGAAACTAAATGCAAAACATATACGTATCTATGACCTGTGCATTGTATACTATGCCAGTATGACTTCACACAACACAGATTTGAGATAAAATCTTTTTTTGTTGTCTTATAACTTTAAGCTTTACATATTAATATACAAGACACAACTAATAATAATAAACAGCAATCTGAAATGGGAAATTCAAATTTAAAAAAATAATAGTATGGTGCTTATTAATTCCATGCTTCCATCATGATTGGAATTATTGAACCCATTTCTACCTTGACTTTATCTGTGGAGTAGGACGTTTACTCTCGTAAATTATTATCAAGTGGGTATTGCTCTATCTTTTCCAAAATAAACAATTTTTTTAGTTTCAAAATTGACTTTTTTTAAAGTAAGATATTTAACATAAGGATAAAAAAGAAATTTAAATTTAAGAAATAAAAAAGATATGATATACATTTCATGTTGATGTTTACAAAAAATAGCATTTTTATGACGAAATATTTAGCCACTTTTTAGTGGTTTTATCATATTAATCATTTAATTTTTATATTTTACTTATATATTATTTGTTTTTAACTTCATTTAATATTTTTATTATTATAATACTATTTTATATTACAGAGATGATTCATCCATATTGAAATATGTTCTTTTATCGAAGTATTTGAATCGTATTTTATTTCATTGCACATTAAAACAAATCAAAATAATTCCATACTCTTGGACTAGTAGTCCAATCATTTATAAAAAAAAAATTCATACTCAAATCAATTTTTGAAAATGGGTATATAAGCCGCCTTTCAAAGTGAACTGTGAGTGGGAAATGTATAGGTATACCTACATATATTTATCTATGCATGCATTCTTCCATCATTTACCTATACGATTACAGACTTCCTCAAGTTACAATAATTTTTACATTTTAGTTTATGAATTATTATGCCATTTGGCCAAACCAAAAATACCGCTCCATCATTCACACTACTTGGTAATTGCAAATGTATTAAAATCGTTAACTTTAAACAACGACGCTTTTCTCGGAACAATGAGAAAAAAATTCGTTCCCCGAACAAAACTGCGTGTTGTAACAAAATTACGATTTTACACTATTTTTTATACTTTAATATTTAATGTGTAAAGATGGTCTTTTAGAACTTATTCAGTCATGCAAACAATATTTTTCTGTATTTTTACGTAGCAGATGATGTGTTGTTACGTATTATAATGATTTACTAGGGGAGAGTTTTAAAATGTTTAAGGCCAATTATCGCTGCACTTAAAAAGCAATCGCACGGTTTATACACAATTTTTCAAATATTATTTAAAACCACAGTTGCTTACATTTCTTTTTCATTGACATTTTGTGGTTTTTTGTGATTCCTTCATAATTATTGAGCAATTTGAAGCTACCTATACGATCAGCGGTGTATTGATATTTGAGTTACCACGTACAAAATGTTGAATATTTTTTTCCGGTATGAAAAGTTGTTTTCGAGAAATAACAAAAAACAAAACATGTATTTTATTATCAAGATCTATACGTATAACGAGTATTATTATGACATCAGAGATATTATGCTCTCAGCAGAAAACAACTTCAAGTTCACACCTTTTGTAAACATTTTTCTATTAGATACTCTTCTAAATATACAAAAACTGATGCATTTTTATTTATTGATTATATATTATGGAAATCTCAAAAAAGTTTTTTATGTTATTAAGTAATTGTAAAAGTATAATAAAATGCACTAACCTATACCATAGTTTATTGCAGTTAATTAATTTATAAACATAGGTACTTATGAGTTATGATAACTAATTATCAATAATTTAATTAGGTACCTTAATATTTTGTTCTATCAATATCTAATAATTTGATGTAATTTCAGTGAAAAATAGAATATATACCTACCTAATTATACTAAGTACCTAACATTTTGTACATATACATACTTATAAGTTATAACTTATATCACTGTAATAAGTTTGTTGTCCGCATGTGCATAATAGAGAGGTACCTTTAATCTTTTTTTAATGTACCGACGTGTGCCTGTACATACAAATTAATCAAATGTATTACAATTATTTTCATAAAATCTTGAATTACCTCCAAATGTGTACAATCTAAAAATTAAGTCAAAATAATATATTTAAAGTAGATATGATAGTGTTAATATAGCTTTACTTATCATACACAATGATTATTAGTATAAGGTAATCTACCTACAACGACTACATCGATTCCAATTGTGTTGTTTGTTAACCAAAACAAAGTATCTGTAAAAATAAGTACTTATATTTTAATCCATTACATTTTAGTAATAGTGTATGGTAATAATTAAATTATTGTTGAGCTTTACTATGCTCCAATAAATGCTATGTATATAAAAATTAAACAAAGATATTAAGCTGTTGTGTACAAATGTGATTAAAAATAATAGTTTAACATTAACATACGTTTATTTAATCGTATAGATATACCTATCGAAGAAACATGCTAAATGTGGGTACCTAACTTTTTATTTTGTAATTCTATA